AAACACGCCCCATAATCACAGCTCTATGGAGCAGCATCAGACTCATTCTGACTAGAATTGAGTAGGACTACGTCAGGCTAGCTAATGTGCTGGACCTTGTCCAGTAGATTTTTTTTTTTAACTTTTTTGGAAGGATCTAATAGCTAAAAGTAGAAAACAATCATCGTCAGTTTGGAAGGAAATCACAGCCTTCCAGGACAGACTGAGCTCTGCTATTTAACAAGGCGGCACAAAAAAGTTTCGGCTTCTGTTCATTAAGATCTGAGGGAAGAAGAGGACAAACGGAACATCTTAAAAAATGACTTTCATGGAGATTTAAGACTAAGAAAACAGTTATTCTATTTGTAGAAATGAGTTGTTGTTGTTGACGTGAAGTTTTAAGCAGTATAGCATAATATGGCTAAATGACTGAGCTAAAAGAGGCTAACCTTTTAGCTACCGAGCAGATGTAGCCACAGCTCTCCCCCTTTATATCATGATCTAACTTTGTTCACCATAAACAGATTTTTCTGCTTTGTTATCGATCAGGTAAAATTTTATCAGCCATTAAAGGCGCTAACATTACAGATGCTCCCGACTCGGAACACTGACTCTGCGTTGTTATCGTTGTCTGGGGAACCAATGTTTTACATCATGTGGCAAAGTTCAGCCAATCAAATAGCATAACGTCGCTGTAGGGCTGGGCGATATGACGATTTAAGACCGTGTTACGATCTACACCTCTGACGATCTGTCATTATTAAGAGACCGTTTTATCAGGATCCACAGAACTGCAGTGCTGCTGTATTTCTGCCACTGACCACATTTACATGCAACCAGAAAAAAACCTTCACAGCTAGAATATAATCCGAGGGTTTGACTTTCGTCTGTTAGTTTGAAAATCAGTTAAGGCATCCCTCCCACACCGCTATTCCACGTATGTACGCTGAATGCAGAGAGAAAGTTTCACAAAATATTAAAAATGTGCAGTTCTTCGCCACCACGAGCGACCTCTGGTCCAGCCGCACGTCAGAGAGGTATTTGAGCTTAACCATACATTTCATCGCTAACTGGGATCTATGAAATGCAACACTGCAGACGGCCTATTTTCCTGATCATATCATCATAGATTGAACAGATTACATCTAGACTTGCACTATATTTGCAGTTCCATAATAGTTTTTGTTTCTAAAGACTTTAGAAATTATACAAATCTATTGTTTAAAGTAATATTTTTTTTAAACTCAAGTTAGTTTTTGTGTGCTTTCTTTTTTTCTTTTACTTTATTAGACCAGTTAGAATTTTTATTTATTTTGACTGTAGTTACTTGAAAAATGTAACTAATTGGTAATTGTTTTACTCAGGAGTTATTGCATTTTTATACTCTTTGGTGTGTTTACAATATAGAAATTTAAAAAATAAGTTTGTTAGCACTGCTTTGATTCTCTAATTTTAGTAAACTTGTTCATTTATTTAATTTTTCCTCTTCTTTGCATGCAATTGAAGTTATGTTGGTCGTATCTAAAAAATAGTGATAAAATCGAGATCACGATAATATAATCAAAAAATCGTGATATTTTATTTTTGCCATATCGCCCAGCCCTATGTCGCTGGCATGAAGCAGGACCCCAGCAGATCTGGTACCTACAGCGGTGGTCAGTGAAAGAGACCCGCTGGCATCAGGATTCACCCCTTTTAGACTAGTTAATGTGCTGGTCAAGATTCTTAGTCATCCAGGTCATAGTCTGTCCAAAAAAGTAAATAAAAAAAAAAAACAATCCACTGGACTTTGTTTCCAAGTTTGAAGACGTTTCACTTCCCATCCAGGAAGCTTTTTCAATTAAAAATGTCAGAAATATCGTTGAGTTTAGGGCTGCAACAACGAATCGATAAAATCGA